GCCGAGGTCGAATGCCAAGGTCTTTAGGTACATTCCTGTGGCAGGAACTCTCCTGAAGCTGGGAGCCAGGGTTAGACTGTCTGCCTGACCTGCTTCCTCACAGTCCCTGGGTAATTAAAACCAATTTTTCCCCAGAACAGGTTTCTGAGATACAGTTAAACTCCTCAACAAATTGATGTATACAAGCAACAGGCACACAGTGACACGTAGCAGCATTTCTTGAGCCTCTGAAAACATGCCATTAACTTTAGATGGAAGGCAGGAGCTCAGGAGAGCACTGGTCAGAGGAAAATAAAGAGTTTCCCGAACTCAGAGCTCTTCTTGGACTTTCCTTGGCAATGAATGCCCTTAGAGAGGGGAATACTTTATATTGACGAAAGCAGGATTCTCCATGAAGCATTAAACTCCCACCACAGGAAGATGTTCCTTTAATGAAGTTAATAAAAATGGCTGAAGAAAGCAAATCACTCAGCTCCTCTCCCTTTATAGATTTCTGTTCCAAATCATCCTCCTTTGGGGACTGTGGAGACCTGCCAGCTAATTTTGTGGACAGGATGGCTTCTAGGCTTGCCTCTGATCTGCAGATGATGTTATTATTTCTTCATAATTGTTTACTGTATAAAGTCAACATCTTTCCCTCCAGAGGGATATTGCTCAGAGTCACTCATAAGCCCTTTTAGCTTGCAATTGTGGGCCTGCTGTGGTCTTGACAGCACACTCACGGCAAGGTTAATGTCATGTCAAGGCACTATTAGTAGCTCCTTTCCTTGTGTGGTTATTCTTTCAACTGTAAGAATATTAATGCGATTTAAAGTTACTTCTAGAGCATTCTTGGCTGGCCTTTAAGGTTATTGCAATTACACGGACAGAAGTTTTAAGGTTTCTGAGAGTACTGTGGGAGTGATTCCAATTGTGGGGAAAAATTAGATTTCGGTTTGTGCTCTGAAAGCAGAGAACTGAGAGCAATCACCGCCACAGTCAGTCCTGGCTGAGACACGGACTCTGCCCGTGACCTCTGCTGTGCCACCTGAGCTTCATATCGGAACTTTCCCACTGCATCCCCATCTGTAAACGCGAGATAATGCTTTTTATCAACTTTGTGGGGATTTTATAATTCAATCTTCATGAAGGGAACAGAACTGCAAGCCTTTCTGTGCTGCTGCTAAATGCAAAACTTCCCTAAATCTTGGAGAAGAGAGTCCCAACGTGGAACCCTCAGACCACACTGAGAGAGGAGACACAGCCCTTCTTCTTTAATTACGAAGTGAATCATTTAACAATATTCTAGCTCACTGTCTTGAAACCCTCCTTTACACATCCCCGGGCATAGCTGGAGGCAGCAAGGTTTGCATGTCAACAGCTGTTTTTGTTATCTGGCTCAGTAAGAGCCAGGGCAGGACGCTCCTCGCTGTGCTGTTCCACAGTAACAGTCAGGCTTATGTAACTGATTAAATAAAAAAATAAATAAATCTCTATTTTTTGTCTTACATTTATGATCTTACCAGCGTACCCCTTGCGCATTACTCATGCTGCTTCATGGCCTGACTTGGACTTGGTCAGATTTATTCCTACGTGGCCTCCCTCCCCCAGGGCCACTGCTGGCCACAGAGTTCCCTACATTGAAGAGAACCAAAATGCTATATTCTCCTTGAAAAGCATTTGGACGCTCTAATTGTCTCCCTAGGTTTCTATGACAACCACAGCAACATAAACAGCCTTGCTGGCAGCCACAGGAGACTGAAATCTCTGCTCTCTTCCCTCCCCAGAACTTCCCAGTGTAGAACACACTGTAACCGAATAAACATCATTAACAATAAACATAGAGGTGGTGTCTTGTACACCAGGCTGGCACTGGGGAAACTTCTCGCAAATAAAAATACATTACAGTATTTTATGATAACAGTCAAAACACTGCCTGTTACATCAGTGTTACCGAAGCACCTTGGGATCAACTGGGAAGAACAGCGCAAAGCTATAAATGTATAAACAAGAGGGTTTCCAATGTCAGCCTGTGCGGCTGCAGGGAGGGTTAAAAAATATATGACAAGGCCTTCTGTGTTGGTGTCTCTTGGCACCTCTCCCCTCGCTGGAAGGTGACACACCAGGGACTGCGAGGCCCCTGAGTGAGGGTCAGGAGAGCTGGGGTGAAGGTGGCTGCAGAGCTCTGTGGTGTGATGTGACTGCAGGCCCCTCTCCGTGGCTGCAGCTCCCAGCCTTCCAGCAGGAAAAGCACAAACAAAACGCGATGGCAGCCGCAGTGAAACGCTCTGTGTGGCACCAGCAATCCCGACCCTCCTGCATCAGGCACGGTAGCCAGAGCTGCTGCTTTTGCTAATGCCCAGGCAAACTGAGGTCCAACGAATCCCAGACAAGTAGCTCAGGTCCTTCCTTCTCTCCCAAGCAAAATTAATGGCAAAATAAATTGGTCATACGAGGCCCGTGTAACTCTGGAGGTTTCAAGCCATTTTAACCCATTCAGCCAACACTGGATGGCATGAAGCCATCAGAATACGCAGGAGTTACAAAGAGGCTGCAGGTGATAATTATGGTTATCAGATGTCCAGGGATCACAAAATCATCTTTCAAATTGTTAACCCAGTTTCCAATCATAAAAATGCCATGTATTTTTAAAATAACTGCCACTGTACATGCAGCATGTGACAAAGGAACTTTGTGAAACACAGACATGCAATTTCAAGCACCAGCGACAGCAGTAATTTCTTCCCCAGTGCTGTTAGTTTGTCTCAGGCATTTGTTCTCCCTGTGCTGCCAGAAAGATACAGACAATTCCTGCTGTTCTGAGACACAACTGGGGATGTAACCATGCCATTTCCACTGCAGCAACCTTCTCACTCGGAGGGGAAATCCTACAGCTTTGTGGGACCTATTTGAGACTCAGACTCAGGATGTGAGGAAGGAGAGGAGGGTGGGGTACGTGAATGTGAAACCTTGGAAGCCAAAAATCTGTGGGGATTCCACCTGGACCAGTGCACAGAAACACACGTCTCTGGGAGGAGGAGAAGAACGAGGAGGAGAAGGAGAAGAAGAAACGCTTGAATTTTCCACAGGGCTCGGAAGACACAGAAGGTGCCACCTGACATTTCCCAGCACAAAGGACTGGCTTTTATAAAATTGCCTGATTATACACAGACCAGGTGGAGGCAAGATTACAAATTAATGAAATAAGCACTAGAAATGGGGATGAACATACAATCTTTGGAAAAAGAAATGGTTTTATTTTTTAAAGCAGACTTTCACTCGAGTGACTACCAATATAACAAATCTTAAGTTGTTTTGTTTTCTCTTGAAAGATTTTGAACAGGGTCCTTATGCTATAGAATTATCGTACAATAGGGAAATATTGGATTTTGCAATGCGGAAAGGAAATATTTCCTCTTTCCTATCTAATTTGCTCCAATAGTCTGTACAGCAAGAAATGCTATCTGAGAGTGAATCATGAATATAAAAGGATTACTGATGCCCACATGTACTACCTTATACAATAACAGTGCCCAATAGATAGTTTGATTTTATCTAGCAACTATTCATAACAAGTTTCTGTTTCCATTTATGTCTTCCTGCATGCTAGTACAATTTTGTTAACTACGGACATGCTACTTAAAATTACAGCATATATGAAACAAATGTGAATTTGGAATACAAAGAGAGATCTGCTGCCTTACAAACATGAGAGCCCAAGTGCTGGTGAGCACATCGGGATATCAAGTACTACGCAAGGCATGTTGTAAAATGCGCTGTTAAAGATAGTCACAGAACAAGCAAGAGGGATGAGATTTCATAGTTTTCACAGTTATTCATTAATAAACAGTAGTAGCTCCAAAATCATCACAGTGCTTTCAAGTTAGGATTAGAAAGACTATAAACTACCCTCTTCTGCATCTGGAGTGAATTGCTTGACATAGCATTCTAATAGTACTGAAATCAAAAGCAGGGCAATTTTACAGTAATTTTAAATTAATGATTGTACAATTAGTAGGTATTTTCATACCTTCCAAGCTCTCTCCAATATGACTCACTGCCACTAAGCACTTGGTTTTAACTTCTGAGAAATACACAGGAAAGTTAAAAAAATAAAGTAATAAAAAAGCCCAAACCACCACACAAACCTTAGCATAATTCCCAGGTATGCTTCTGGTATGTAGGTGGCACAGATGAATTATGGCAAGGAGGTTTTATTAGCAGTAATTACACATTTTATCAGCAGTAATTATATAATTCCCTTGTGCCACTGAATCATTCTAAACTCTAATCCAAGCTCTAATCATTATTGAAGTATTGATAAAGCCCTTACAGGACGTTGTTCCAACTCATAAAGCCGTTCCTTACGAATAGTCAATACTTAAGAAAACTTGGAAGATTGCTGTGACTTCACACAGAATCTTTGTGCTGCTTAAGAAGATGAGGTGTGATGTATCTTGCAGTTGCAATGGGACTTTTCTATGAATGTACACATTTTTACACCCCAACTGCAACGTATGGCATGATGCCACTTTTAAGCATAGGACCACAGAAATCTCTGTGGCCACAAACCAGACTTTTGACAAATTGAACTCTTCAGATTTTTATCATTTTAGATTATTCAGCTGAGCAACCCAGTTTCTTTAGTAGGCCAATATTAGAAGTGTTTAATTAAAGCATTTTAAAAGAAAATTAATTCAGAGGGCTTTAAGTGTATATCTAGGGAATATGTCCCTCAATCGAATGAAGACATCAGGGAAAAGTAATTTTCTTAATTGCTAGTGTACTTTTGCCATTCTTTCCAAATGGCAGCTACACCGAACTGGCCACACACATCAGGGTCAAGGCTTTTATTTAGAACAGTTGTTAGAATGTAATCACGTATTTTTTACAATGACAAGTTATTTTGTTCTGTCAGAATATCCTAAGAATAACAACTTCTGTAAAAGGAAAAGCATTCTTGATAGCATAAAATACTATCAGTAGAGCACAAGAACAGAAAATCTCAAAAAGTGACATACCTGCCCCACGCTGCTTTCATTGTGGAATCTTTATCAACAGGAATGCACGAGGACTCAACAACACTTGATTTATTCAATTTGTAGCAGAGACCACAGTCTGGATCTAACATACATCCATTACAATAACTGAAAGAGAAAGAAATAAATACTTCAACACCTCTTCATTCATTTGTACATGTCAAAAACAACAGCATCTCCTAATCAATCTTGGGATGCACATAGTCAAGTTGTCAGTGTTAGAGACAAGATAATGGAAACTGCCCAAAAATGAATACAGATAGCTTTTGCCTTCTTCTGTACCACATTTTGGTGGCCCAGTTGCAAATCTCCCAGTGACACCTGATAAGGCTGTAGGGGAATTCACTCATGGAATGACTTTTAATGAAAAAAAAGAGACAGATTGGGGTTGAAAAGAAAGAATCATACATCACACCTAACAACCAAACTAGGACTTGGGGACATATGGATGTGGGAGTCTGAGATCACAATACCATGTCTCTCTGTGTGGGAACTTGGCTCCTGAGTCCCCATGACACTTGATGGATGGAGTCAACATGTCAATAGAGCCAACTCACATACAGGCACCTAGTGCCCAAAAACATCCCGCCTGCCCTTCACCTGCTGTGTGCAGTGCTCTCACAGACCATTCCTGTGCATCGCACTTGCCAGCTCCGTACAGATACCTCTGATGTCCTCGGTAGTCTCAAAGAGCAAGAGATGCTCACATTTAGGCAAAGTTTCCTCATTGCAGTCTTGTGAGTTATTTAAGTCACTAGACAATAAAACTGTTCTCTAGGCTCCAGCTGTTACACTGACCACATCCCCACTGACTACTGGCAGCCTAGACACCAAGTGCCCTACAGACAGAATCACAGAATCATAGAATGGTTTGAGTTGGAAGGGACCTTAGAGATCACCTAGTTCCAACCCCCCTGCCATGGGCAGGGACACCTCCCACTAGAGCAGGTTGCTCAAGACCCCATCCAGCCTGGCCTTGAACACTTCCAGGGATGGAGCATCCACAGCTTCCCTGGGCAACCTGTTCCAGTGCCTCACCACCCTCATAGTAAAAAATTTCTTCCTGAGATCTAATCTGAATCTTTTTTCTTCCAATTTAAAACCGTTTCCCCTTGTCCTATCATTACACCTCCTGGAAAAGAGTCCCTCCCCAGCTCTTCTATAGATACTCGGGCATCAGTCTAAAACCTGCTCTCAAAACAAACTGAGGGGGATTTGGGCACATGAGCTAGGACATTATTCCAAAACCCTTTGTGCAGTGCAAGTTACCTGAAAGCTTCTGGCACAAGCTCCCCCAGATCTTGCAAATGCTCTAGACCATTGCTACTGTGGTTAAACTGCCCAAGTGCTTATCTTCCCCGGAAGCCACCTTGGACTCAGAGATACATTCTCATCAATAAAGGCCCTGGTATATTCTAAGGGGTAACTTTCAGAGTTAAAAATAGGAGAATGAAAAACTTTTAAACATAGATTAAGTCTGGAAATCTGAAATTAAAATTAAAACTTTGAAATGTAACATCTGGAAGTGTGTAATTAAGGTGACCAAAATAGCTTCAACATCCCTGTAACAACAAAACCAAGGAAATAATCCTTTCTGAATGTGTATCTTTATCATAACAATGACTTAGTGAATGAAGAAATAAGCTGCTTAAACTACTATACCATTAAGAGAAAAAAGTAACTGTATAACAAAGTCCCAGAAACTAAATCGGAAAAGTAGATTACATGGATTTTAAAAGTCTGAAAGTACATACCTAAAATCTACTCATTCAAACTTTTCTTACTATGTTGTTCCTAAACCAGCTATAATAATGTCAATTCGTATGGTAGCTGGCAAAAAAGAGGGCTGCAAAAGTGTTTAAAACAATGTATTAATTTGCATTTTCCTACTTCTCCCAAGTTTCAGAAATTTGTGCTCTTTGTTATTGTGTGCTTTCTAAATAGCGAAATTACTGTAGAATTTCCATGATGCCTACTTTTTAGAAAATACATCTATTTTAAGTAGTCTCCTCTTCCTTAACTGATAGGTCAAATTCAGGTTTGAGCAGCTTTTGATTTTTTTTATATTAGGAAAGGTGCATTAAATCAGTTGAGATATAATAGTGATATAAACTGCAGAAAACATTATTACAATGGAGATGAAACAAAACTTTCAGGTAGAAGTCATTCATCTCACTGTAGTAAATATTTCTTCTCTTGCAAAGATAAATGGGAAAATGATAACTCTGCAATTATCAATTACAAAAGGAAAGAACAATTCCAATATTAAATTAGTGAGATATTTTGTTAATCGATAATAGGATGGCAATGGGTAGCAACCGAAACAGTTGACAGGAACAGAAGACTGCAGATGAATAAAAATATTTTTTATATATCACAAGTGTGTTTAAGTATGTAATAATAATACTAAAAATAACTGAAAAAATATAGCATCTTCTAGTGAACAGAATTCTATGATATCAAACAGGATGCTGATACATGATTTTCAAATTGTAGAACATCTTACACTCAAAGCACGTTGTATATCAAAGTACCTTTTAAAAACATGGATTTCTAAAAAGAAGCAGGGTGCTAGCACATCCAGCATGGCAGCCTGGCATAGAAAGCAGACATTTCCAAATACTACATGCTATCAAGTGCAGCAGTGGATTTTTAAGTTAACTATATGCAAATTACATTTAATGTGAACACTATGTGCAAAATTTAACACATTAAAGAGGTCTTTAGGCAACAATTCTCTTTGGAATATTTAATGATTCAAAGTTTCTCTAGATTTGTTCTTTGTAGGTTTTACTCCAAGCAGAAATATCATCAAATGCCCAACCCCAGCCAGACCATCAGCAGGACATGGGAATTCAGAGGAATGACAATCAGGCACAGCAATGACTGTCATCTTTATAGTGTGGCCAGCAGAGGACAGGATGGGGGTTGGACGTCTCATCATTTCCCTCAACGTCCTCACAAAAATCGATGCAGGAGATGAATGACAGAACTGAACCATGCACTGTCTGCTCTGTCCTACTGGGCTCGCTCTACGGACAACTCCACATAACCCCACAAGGTGTTGGGTATCAGCAATCAGTCAATTGGGAAGCAGAAGGTATCTTCTTAGGGGAGATTTAGATTAGATACTAGAAAGAAATTCTTTACAGTGAGGGTGGTGAGACTCTGGAACAGGTTGCCCAGGGAGGTCGTGGATGCCTCATCCCTGGAGGTGTTCAAGACCAGGCTGGATAGGGCTCTGGGCAACCTGGTCTAGTGGGAGGTGTCCTTGCCCATAGCAGAGGGGTTGGAACTCGATGATCTTCAAGGTCCCTTCCAACCCAAACCATTCTATGATTCTACGATTATTTATTCCTCCTTCCCCATCCAGCAGTCCAGAAAAAACTCAAGAAATTTGATTATCGATTCCAGTGTCTGCTACGTGGCTGTTAATGCATCTGTTCCTCAGGCTTTATTGGGTATGCGCAACTGTGTCTTCCAGCTGGCATTCAACATAACAAAAGCTGCTGGAATTTATGTCATGCCAAATGTCAGAGGTTATAGTTACTCTCAACAGTTTAAACAATTTAAAATTATTATTTTCCACGGCTTTTCTGAAGCTTGTCTCTCAGGCTGAAAAGTTAAATAAATATTTTAAAACCCTTTAACTTTGGGTTAGGTTCTTCTGCCATTACCTATACTGTGAGTTTATACAATCAGGCTTTAACTTCAGATTCTAGGGACAAGACCAACTTATGTCAGAGGAGACCCAGAAACTCAATATACAAGACTAAAGCCCTTTCAAATTTAACTCCCAGCAGACTTAGGGTAGACGGTTGCTGTTCAGACCATCTACCATTCTTCTGTGCCCTGTTTTATCACTGACATAAATTTTTTATGTTTACTTTGATGAGGCAGGTAGTAATTGTTTTTTTCAATATAAGATTGATTTTTTTCTTCCAAAATTCCAACATATACACATTACAAGTGTTTCATAACACAATAAAGAAATCTGTATCAGTTAATAAAGACTAATGATCACTGAAGACGCAGCATGAAATAAAAAAGGAAGATCTTTTTTCAAAGCAGCAATTTAAAAGCAACCAAAAAATCAAGTGCTCTCTCAAAAAATGGAAATAAAATATATAGTAGTCTCAGGCTTATGCTCTTCTTCACTCTAGCCTCATTGCTATTTGCTAAACAAAAATATTGAAGCAATTTGAAATTGAGCAGATATTCTTACATATATGCTCATAGTGATGTAAATAAATTAGGACACACAATATACCCTGAAAATAAATGCACGATATTTCTGTGTTGCATATTGACATGTAACTATCTACTACAGATCTCCTCCCTGTCCTCAGAGGTATCTTCTTATCAGCCCAGACATATTCAAATATATTTCAGAGTATAAATCTATAAAAATACTGACACTTCTTCAAATCTACACCACAATCAGTTATGGCTTTGAAAGCTCTATACAAGAATACTCCAGGATGTCTATGTTAAGAAGGAAATTTGCATCCAATTACAAATGGGAGCTATGTTTCCTGTTCTTTGTCATGAAATATTTATATCTGTGCCAGGGTCGTGAGCTAGTGTCTCGGAAACAGGTTCCTCTATGAAGAGCCAGTTGAAAATTCCCAGGCAAGACGTTTCTCAATCAGCCACTGACAACTTACCAAGATTGAAATACCTGTGAGAAATGATTTGATTTTGATGAAAGCAGGCAGCATTACAGCAGAAAGGTTTTACAATGTGCCTAGTTTCCTCTCTGCTTACCAGCTGGGCTCCTAGGCAACCCAACAAGAAGGCAAGCGTCTAGACTTCAGATGCTTCAGCCTATGTAGCAGAATAACAATAACCAGGAATGTGAGGCTCCAGAATTCCAAAGATGCCCAGCTTCTTTGCAGCTCAGTGACATGAAGTCTACAAAACAGAAGTCTCAGTAGCTTGGCTTCTCAGTTTATTGGGAACTGCCATGGAATGGAATTTCAGGGTTCCTGCCTCATTGTCAGACCACATTTACTGACAAGCTGATGGACTGTTAGGAGACCAGATATCCCCAAACCTGAAATTCCCAACTCCGATTCTGCCAATTCAGTCAAGGCTTCCATGCTCAT